ATCAAAAAATCAGCTGGGCGTGGTCGCGCATGCCTGTAATTCCAGCTACCTGGAAGGCTGAGGCGGAAGGATTGCCGGAGCCCAGCAGGTCGAGGCTGCGGTGGCCGGGAGCGGCCACTGCACTCCAGTCTGGGCGACAGAGTGAGACTCCAACTCAAAAAAAAAATAAAAAAATAAAAAATAAAACCACAGGGACAGATCATTTCGTATGCACTAGGTTGATGGAAAAAAATTTTATTGAGGTAAAATATACATAAAATTCACCATTTTTAAGTTTACAGTTCTGTGGCATTAAGTAACTGACATTGCTGTTACCTTCTCCAGAACTTTTTCATCTTACAAAACTAAAACTCTGTACCTACTAAATACTAACTCCCCAGCCCCTACCATTAATCCTGGCAACCACCATTCTACTTTCTGTTTCTATAAATTTGAGCATTCTAGATATCTCATAGAAGTGAACTCAGAAAGTACAGTATTGCCTTTTGTGACTAGCTTATTTCACTTAGCAGAGTGTCTTCAAGGTTCATCTATGTTGCAGCATGTGTTAGAATTTCTTCTTTTTTAACCCTGAATAATATTCCATGGTATGAATGTACCACATTTTTTGCTTATTTATCCATTGATGGACACTTGTGCTGCTTCTAATTTTTGGCTATTGTGAATAATACTGTATGAACATGGGTGCACAGACAAAAAAATTTTAGGATGAAAAGTTTGTAAAGATGTAGATCAAAGGTAACTCTCCTACATGACAGATGGGAGCATAGACATGGGCATTTCTTAGGCCTGGCAATTTCCCTTCTGGAGGAACCCTGGCTCAAAGATGGCAGGAGACATAAACAAAGGTTGATTGAAGCAAGAATCAGAGATGATACAAGTGTCCACCGTAGAAGAATGATAAATTGTAGTTTTTTTAACACAATGGAATACTATAGAACAGTAAAAATGAGTGATCAGTAGCTACACTGCAAAAACATACATGAATCTGCAAAAACATAGATGAATCTCCAAAAACATGATGGGCAAATTGCAAATAAACCAAGTTGCAGATTAATACAAACAGCACAATTCCATTTATACAAAGTTCAAAAATGGGCAACACTAAATATATTGTTTAGGAATATTTCCCATATGGTAAAATCGTAAAGAAAAAATAAATTTGGGTATTGGTAGGTAGGTAGCAAGGAGGCATGCATTTTGAGAGGGAAATGGTAGGTTTCAGAAGTACTAGTTATGTTCTATTTCTTAAACTGGATGGTAGGTACAGGGGTATTTGTTTTGCTGTCCTTAAAACTATACAGTCTCCCAAGGCGTGGGATTACAGGCTGAGCCAACGAGCCCGGCTGAGGTGAGTGGATTGCCTGAGCCCGCAGGTTCAAGACCCGCCTGGGCAACTTGGCG